CGAACCCGTCGTTAACGTATTTATTGCAATTAGTTGTAAGAAATTATTATAACATGCGATAAGTATCGAGTATGTCAGGATAAATGCCAGGATACTTGCGGAATCACGTTTTCATTAAGCGTTTCATAAAGAACGCGCATGTGATTTTTATTATCCTGATTTATAATGCGGACAATTCTGCCGTGAAACTTTTATGTTGATGCGATATTGATGCGCTGCTTGATTGCGTCGCTCTAATCCGCTCTTTTAAAAATTTAAAGGCATTGATATTAAGGTGAAGGAAAATTAAATTTATTGATTTGTTGTTAAACTGAACAATCGAATCTGACTGATGTTAGTGCGTGCTGAACTAGCAGATTTAAACAAAGAAATTTAATTGTAACTACGAAATTGCTCGATTGTTTTTGTCAAATCTGGGTAGTAATTTATAATACTTTTTGTATAAACAATATTTTATCACAGAAAAATATAGAATTAGCAAACTATACTTAGCTACGGACTAAAAATAATATGTTTTCCGCATGATACAAATAATAGAGTTTAGGAATATAAGAATCATGTTAGTATAAAATAAGAAATTTGCATAAAACATTGAAGAAAAAGGAAAAGGAATAATACTAAATGTGATAAAAGTCAGATCAAAATAATCAGTTTTAAGACAGATAAAAAGAGATCGTACGAAGTCAAGTAGCTGACCTAAATTCTAAACATGATTGACATTTTTTTGAAAATAGAAAAACATGAGGCTTTTTTGTTGCTATCGTTTATAGCGATTCGTGGAAAGATCTTTGTGATTTGCATTTCTATGAACTAAAACAAAAAACAAAGATTTGCGTAGAGTCGCAAACATCTAAATAAAAAACAACATTGGTTTTTAGTTGATTTTATGTGATTTTTAATCAAGATTTAATTTGAAATTGATCTTTACGAGAATTTTAAAAATAAATAAGTCGATACAAATACAACTTTTTGAAAAATTAAATAAGTTAATTGTTAAAAAAACTCGAAGTCCAAATATATCAAGTATTTTCAAAATATTATTTTCAGAATCCATGTAAGACTACTAACCATTATTATAACTTGCACGAAATGTTAGATTATGTAACTTTAAGTTAAACCGCAATCTCTGATGGAATTAATTCGTGTTCTCCGATTTTTAATCACGAGGCGAACGTCTTAGATTGACCTCGGCAAAATCAATGCATAATTCGCACGTTTTCTTTTCGCTTTTAATATTCGCACAAGTCAGTTGAAATGTATTTACGCGGTTGCACTTGAGGTCGAGCATAGTCTCGTCGTAGCCTGGCGGGGAAGAAGTGGGGAAGAGGGGGGGTTATTATCGGGCGCAGTTATCAAAGTTGATAGATGATAGCGGGCGGCGCGCTAAATAATTTATGAGGGAACGAGTTAAACAATTTTCACGTCCGGTTTGATCGCGGATTCATCGTCTTAATCTATTTTCGTTGCGTTCGCCTCGCAGCGGAATTGCATTTCCTTCTAACGAGGGAAGCGGCTGTCTCCCGGCGTAACGCACTCGATGCATAATGAACCTGACATGATGATAATGAGTCGACTAATTCCATGATATGACCACGACACGCTTCAACTCGACAGTGAAACCCTCTTCTACCCGTGATTTTCTTCTTTCATATAATTATGTAATAAATTAGTGCAATTATAATGCAATAAAAAAAGTGACTAAACTTCAAACAGCTATTTCTTTTTGTAAACAGAATGTTTTAGCATCTAATAATGTGTTTTACAATTTTGCATAACTTGCATATCTCATAATATAAAAAATTGCACATATATTTTAATCGTGAAAATTGCCCGCCTTAGTTTTGTCGCAATCGCCCGGAGATAATTATTAATTACTGCCACTTATTCCATTATAAAATTTGGCTCAAGTGAGCGCGGTGATTGGCTGGCATTGACACGATATAGGTATTATCGTTCGCGACGATCCTTCAACCTGCCACTGCACCAAAGCGCTTATTACGGATTATAGATTATCAATAATGAGCGAGACGCGAAGCGAACGAGACGGCCCGCGAATAAATAGCATCTAATTACGCTGATTAATGCCCAGCCCTGCGATTTTTCATTGCCTTTGGCCACCTCAACGACGATTTCGAGCCAATCCACAAACAGTGTCTACCTGCCATCGGTAAATCTTAATTGACCAGTTATCTTTGATAGCTAGATCGAAATAACCTGCGATGCATAATACGATGCGATCGATTTTATCTTTTTAATCTTGCATTTTACGATATTTTCAACTAACATCACACATTTTTTGTTGTACAAAAAAAGTAATTTTCAGGAAAATAATTTAATATGAAATTTAAAATAAGTTATATTAATTTTTATGGAATTTATAATAAACTATATTAATTTGATTTTTGTACATTGTGCAATTTATAAATTCGTCAATGTATTGAAACTTTTAGTTTTGGTTTTTTTTCAATCCTATGTCTGTATTCCGACTGCATATTTTGTATTTTAAGCATAAGATAATATTTCTCAATTTTGTGAACAATTGAGCAAAATTGTAAATATATAATTAAAGTTGTATATAATTATTTCATATTATAGTTTTTGGCCTAAAATTCAAACTTTTGATTCAATTCAATATATTGTTATTTTATATCAATGTTATTTCGCAGTTCGGAAGACTTATGTTCAAAAAAAACTAAATCGCTCGAGAATCAATCTTTGCGATGGACACAACCACGATCAAGCATTTCCATTTTGTTTCGTCTCACGCGATCGAGATAACTGAGGGGAATTTCTGGTATTGCCCGGTCAATCATAATTCCCGATCTTTTATTCAATTCCGACCATTAACATGCATACGCGCAACGTGGAACCGCCGATCTCGGCTAAAGATATACGCCGAGGATAGCGGATCGTCCTCGTAAAATCACTGAAATTCCATGTTTATTCAATATATCGGGACGCCAGTACTGCCCCGGCGCGTGTCTTATCTCGCGCGTGCCCAGATAAGACGGAAAGCGATTTTCGGTACAGGCTTGCGCCGTGAATTACACGCGGCTATTGCTCTTCGGATGTCGGTCCGAGACGGCGTCGTTTTAATCAACTTCAAGAAGATTTTATACAATATTGACGTGATCATCGAATTTCTTTTTCTGCTGGATAATCAGATAAAGATATTACATAAAAAAAATAGACTCGTATTAATAAATCTCCTTCTCTTTCCCTCCGCTGTCTGTCAAATTGTTATAAGCGAGGAACATCCGGCGTTAGCTCGATATCCTCGCTGTTGTGTAATTGATAAGATAAAAATAGTTTATTTACATATATTTTGTCGTCACGCTTCGCATATTCTTGCAGTATTAACTGTTTATGTTTATCTTCTATTTCAATTCTGCGTATATTTTTACATCGACGTAATTTTTTTATTATATTACGCGCGCGTATATGTATACTTTGCGCGTGCGTACATGCGTGCATATGTGTGTGTAAGATCCACTTTGTAAAGGTCCAAATTCACTCGCCTCGATGAAATGTTTACCTTGCGCCACGATTACAAATGGTGCGAAATTAAGATAAATTCGTGATCGTTCTCCATCGACGTCGTTCTCCATTTTCGTGTCGCACGAACATAATAATTCTCGTCGAAAGTATACAGTACTTAATTCGATATCGATATCGATCACGAACGAGATAGGCTGTCGCAAATTATAATGTTTCGTCGCCCGGATGCAACGAGATCCACCGATCAAACGCGCCAAACTTTACTTTTAAGAAAGCATGTTATCGCCCGCGCGCGATCATAATTTTTTTCAATCATTAATAATAATGAATAATAATAAACTTATTTTTATAAGAAGCGTACGCAAGATAAATGTTGAGAAATTAGTTTGGAAACATGAAAGATACCTTACAATTAATAATATTAATTGCATCGAAGGAACTGACATAATCGGGAGATTAGACTTTAAAATAAAGTATTAATTTGTAAGAAGTCCCGACTGCTGAAGATTTTGCATATCCATCCCGGCAAAATATGCTCTCCGCGAGCGACTCTGGAATTACGTAGGAACGAATTCGCGCTAGAAATTATGTCGTTAGATTATGTCTAACAATGATGATTGCCGCTATAATCTCTCCATTACTCGCGTCACGCTCGGCTTGACACCACACGAATAAAAAGAGCGATCGGCTTGGTAAAGTGTGCGTGCGCGCGAATTCATCGATTTACATCGGCAAAGTGGCGAGCACGAAAGCGAGTGCGCCCAGTGCAGCTGTTCGATCGGAGGAGAAGATTGAAGAGGAGTGCACACTTTACTACATGGTTAACTTCATTATCGGAATGCGCGCGTCGGCCGTTACAACAACGGACCGGCATTATTGCTCGGCGGTTAGCGTAACTACTGCATTTGTTTTCGCTGCGAGACGTGCACTTACGCGATCCCGTCGCGCAGCAACAATAGCTCCGCGCCGATTAAGTAATTGCGGGTGTTCGCCTATGTCGCCGTTATCGTTTACCCGAGTACTCGACTCTTCTGCTCATAGGCGTGTTGGACCTTTAGATCTTTGATCTGTTGAGCATTAAATCCTCGAGACCTCTGATCTTTTCTCTCACAGAGAGATCCTTGCAGATTTTCACCGCTGAAATATTACGACATCAAGTCTCGGATCTGGCTTTCATTTCGGCTCTAGAATTTTCATACTCCAAATCCGTGAGAATTTAATTTACAAAGCTGGAGACCGCGGAAACTTTTAAAATCTCAAACTTTGAGATGTAATGTTTCTCAAAATGTTTGAGCAACTTTTTAGATGATGAAATTCTTCATGATTTAAAGCATTGTTGCCTTTAACATTCAACATTGTCGAAATTTATTATATCTTTTTATTTTTGATCCATGATCTATATTTAAGTCAATCTTTGGAATTTTAGGTATTTAAATTTTTTAAAGAAATTTCATTTATTTTGCTGCTTTATTTTTCTTTAATATATGTATGTTTTCTTTCAGGTTGCGACGGGGAGTCAGATGAGGGTGGCAACAAGAGACGAAGAAGCAGGACTAACTTTAACAGTTGGCAGTTGGAGGAATTAGAGCGAGCCTTTCTGTCGAGTCATTATCCCGATGTTTTTATGCGAGAAGCTCTGGCTGTGAGACTCGAATTAAAAGAGAGCCGTGTGGCGGTGAGTTTCTTTTTCTATTGTCATTTATTTCGATGATATAATACGTAGAATATGTTCAACATTACACAACATCTGTGAATTGTAAACGATAAAAAAGCAAAATTAAAAAATATTGCTAATAACTGTTGAATCATTTTGACAAATGAAAATACAGGACACAAAATAACAGTAAAATATAAGGCAAAAATTCTTAATATATTGAGTAGAATAATGTCGTGAAAACATAGCATTCTTTATCTAACTCTCATTAACTAAAATTTCAAATTTGCTAAAAAATCTATAAAAGAAACATGCAAATTTTGAAATATCCGTGATAAATATGACGTGATTCTCTTTCAACTGTAGCGTAATAAAAGAACAGAACGAGAAGTGGAATTGTACAATTGTGTCAAATTGTTCGCGGAATGCAATAGGAGTGCGATGCAAAAAGATAACGCTGAAAGGGGTTGGACCGAGATATAAAATGGGGAGGTGCATTGGCATAGGCGGCGGGAGCGGATGCATGCGCTATTTACGGGGCCTAACACGCGTGTCTAAGCAGATAAATATAAATATCCGCTTGAAGGTTTTAAGGGTGTCTGTCTGTCCGACCGGCCGTGAAATTGAGAGTCCACCCTTCGCGGTCCTGTCGAAGGTTTCGGTTGGATTGCGTTCGTCGAACGCGGGCGTGAGCTGTCCGAATACCGGAAGAAGGCTGGCCGCGCGAAATAGATTTAATGCCAGTTTTCTGGAGTTTTAATGACATGCGTTCGATATTGCAACGCAATATGCATTAGAGAGAAAGAGAGAGGGTAAAATTCACTTGATTTTGCAATAATAATTGCAATTTAACTGCTATTTTGGAGACAAGTCTTGAATAATAATTTTTTAAGGATTGCACTAGAACATTTAAAAATGCAGTAAACGAAGAAATAAAAAGTACCCCTCGCAAAAACGTTATTAAGAAACAATAGCGTCCTATCGGCGCCGGCGTTATTTAAATGGACGATCGTCGAGTGGATAAATCTGTGTCGATTTTGTACCCTCGAGTTGATCTCGAAGGTAACGGACCAGATGGACTAACTACCCCCTGGAGACGGAGTGAGGGGGCAAAGGTCCGAGGCCGGAACAAACCCTCGTCGCCTGTCGACCCTCGAAAATTCGATCCCAGAGTCACTTTAAATTCCTGTCTATCGCCTCGTCGATCTTTGATGGCCACCGTTGCGGGATAAATCCGCATAATATGTCGTAGAATCAGACTAAATTTAAAGCTCAATTCAAGAGTTAGGGTTGTTGATCCAATGTACGTTATAGTAAGAATCATAAATCGGAATTCGTAAGAAGCCTACTTCTGAACTGTGGGGTGTTTTAAATTACGGCAACGTGCTCTCCGTTGAATTCAAAACATAAAATAAGGCTGGCACTCTCAATGTAAGGACATCTTTAAATTTGATTACGCCGATAACATCGATCGTTCGTTCACTTTGCCGTTGCAATATTTTGAAAAGATGCCCGCAGCAGCACATACGTTCGCTGGGTTATCGTACGCGGTGATCGATGTTATCTAATCTGAGAGCTATTCCCTGTGGTAGGGAAGTCCCTCTGAAAGGACGGCACCGGCTGTGTGACATCGTGTCACATTGTGTCACCACTCGGTCGGGTTATCGTCTCCGCTATCTCTGCGCTCAGCAAAATCCGATCTCTCGTCCAGAATCAAAAGAAGCTGGAAGGATCCGAAGATCCGAGAATCAAAATTTCTTAGAGTATACGCCAATTGTTGCACACGTTGCAAAATAGTATTCCATGCGTCTGCGAAACTTTTGAGAAAGCGAGTCACAACCGGTTGTAAGTAAAATGTAAACCATGTGTTTTAATTTATCACCACAAAGAAATCTCTCGTGCGATTACGATATCGCTATTATCGAGACGTAATTTGCATTTGGCGACAAACTTCGCCAAAGTCGAATTTATCGGTATTGATAAAAACGGCGAACTTGTAAAATGTCGCGCTGATCGTATCTATTAATAGTGATTTTACGATTTATTCCACGATTTATTTTATTGTCGTCCATTGTTCACACTCTGTAAAATCAATGTTGCAAACTCCATGCGCAAAATCGTATTTAGAATAGAATAAAGTTGAATAAGTTTTAAATTTATTAACACTGAATATTTTTGGAAGAACGATATGATTATATTCAGCTGTTTTCGTTTAATATCTGACGTATTTTACATAAAATATGACTGATTAAATGCTTCCCATTATTTTAAAACTGAAAAGACCCCAAGACAAAGAGTTAATTAAGATACGAAACGGTTAGTCGACCGAGCGGCTTTTCTTCGATGTTACTCTTATCGGTGCGGCAGCAGACATCGTTTATTAATTGACGGAAGCAATTATTAATTACATTAGAATGCACATTATCTTCCCTCTTGTACAGCGATTATGATTATCGGCACGACGTCGCTTCTTCGAGTTTTTCTATCATTAAGATACGCTTTATGCATGTTAACCAGTCGGTCGTTTACAATGTAATCTGCACCTCCTCTCAACGCGCTTGTAGCGAGAAGAGGAAAACTGTTATTCAGTTCGTTAAAATGCGGCCGCCTCTTAACACATAATCGGATGAAACAACTTGTTAACCGCTATCAGTCACCGATAATTCCTGACGAGTAGCCACGCTAATGCTCGAGTCATGTTTCCCACGCATCGCACTTGTAATGCGTCACAGCTGTGCCCAATTCCGAACTTTACGATGTCTCTTACAAAATTCATGGATATAATTTCAAGTTATGATAACATATCTTTCGACAAATCGATTTTTCTGTAGCAATAAATCAGTGAAATGTGCTTCTCGTTCATTCATTTTGTAACAGTCATCATTCGTCACTGAAAGATTTCGTTGTGCACATTTTTGTGAATTTGTAAAATCTATGTAGTATCTTTGAATTTTTTAATACTTTATTTCTATGATAAGATGATTTATCTGACTGTTTTACTAATATTATGCGAGATATTATTTCTCTTCAAATTAATTAACCATTAATACCGCTCCATTTTGTTCTAATTAATCTGTTTGAACTTCTGTATATGAGTTTTGTTAATTCGGTGTGATTTTAATCCTTTTTCTTCTCTGTTGACATGCCGTTAAACTAAAAAGAGCCCGAAATTGGGCTGAAATGTTTAATAAATTTTCTTTATATTAATTTATAATATCTTTTGCGCCCCGACATTCGGCGCTTGGTTCTCAGAGTCTATTTTTCTGTTGTTTTTGTTACTCTTCAAGAACAACGCATGTATGTTACGCTATTAAATAATAAAATTTAATTGTTATTACATTATATTTCAAAGCTCCATTACAACTTCCGCTGAGAGATAGAGGATTAAATAGACCAAGCGTGCGACGAATACTAACAGAATCGTCGAAGTAATCGAATTAATTACAATCACCTGAAGTTTAATCGTGAGTAACGTAGACTCGCGGATAGTGATAGAGACAGATTAGCGCTTTGGGTTTATTCGGGGTTCGCAAAGTACCCCGAAGTCGAAGAAAGTCGTAAAGCTATGTAACGCAGGGAAGGTGTTTCAGGGAGCCGAGGGGATCTATTGATCTTTGGCTCGCGTGAGCTCAGCGCCGCTCGCCGGCCGAACTGTACAACTAATGTCTTCATCTCTCCCTCTCGCCACCTCTTCAACCCCTCTTTCTACCCCTCGAGTACCCGTGCTATCCCTCGGTCGCGCCGTGGGCTCACGCTAGCCCTAAATCGTCGTTCATGCCATGACCGTTCACGCGAGCAAAGGGTTGTCGTCCTCAATGAATCAGGACACCCGAGAGGGTCGTTGGTCTTTCGTTCTGAGACAGGAGTCTTCCTGTAATTTCGAAACTTAATGCATCCGCCCTTTGTGTCGCTTGTGATAGCGTCGCGCAAAAGCGGCGTTGTGATTTAAGTAGCTCACGGGGAAATTTTGCGCCGTAGAAGCAACGGCAGAAAGGAATCCTCGAGGAGAATCTTATGAAATTAACGCGACGTGGCGAGCACCTGTTACAATTGAGACCCACTGAGCTTTTATCAATGTCAATTAACGTTAACTGCTGCTTAAACTCATCTTCTTTCTTTCTTTCTAGAAACAAATAGAAACTGAGGTAATTATGATTAAAGTTGATCGAAACAAATGTGCCCTGACTTTACTTTCTACAATAGAGACTGTTACCAGCCACTCGACTTTTAACTCGAAGCGACTCAACGATTAACATCGGGAAACTAATTGAGTGTCGCGATTTTTCAATTTGCATCGATTTTGCTATTTCAGGTGTGGTTTCAAAATCGACGGGCAAAGTGGCGGAAGAAGGAACACACGAAGAAGGGCCCCGGGAGACCGGCGCACAATGCGCACCCTCAAAGTTGCAGCGGCGAACCTATTCCACCGGAAGAACTGAGACGAAAAGAACGCGAGAGACGACAGAAGAAATTGCTGAAAGCTCTCGAGAGACAGCAGCGAAAGCTCGCTGCTAAAGTAAGTTGTATGCTCGCTTCAAACTATTCTTTAATTTCAAAATTTTTAATTAAATTTTTCTCGCAATTAAGAATTTCAAAGTGTTTATGTTATTGCGTCTCGATGTTTTTTCTAAAGAAATTAAAACACTCCTTTCTCATTTCTTTATAATTTTGTTAATATACAGAAAAAACTTATGTAATCTTATGAATGCGTTCACCATGTTTTTATGTTGTTTGTAAGTTTATGATCGCCGATTTTATGCATCCATATTTGACAAACTGGCAAATAGAAGCAAATTATGTTTAGAATAACAACATAAATAAACTACAACACTGAGAAATAAACTCGTCACTGAGGAAAACCTAACGAGAGGCAGAAATGTCTGTTGATATTATATATTGTTCATAATAAATTGGCACGTTGAACCAGCCACGGCTCTTTTTACTCCTTTTTAATTTGATTGATAATTATCATTTGAGCCTATCGCTATATATTTAAATAATTCCGTCATTTCTCGATTTCAGGGCATAACAGTGGATTTGTCGACGCTGCGTGCCGAGTGGGAGTCCCGTAGCGAGGCAGCGTCGGGTCGCGGCTCTGCAAGTGGTCCGCTGAGCAATTCTTTTGGTCAACTGGGCCTGAACAACGAAAGCAACAACATCTCTACGTCCGGTAATGAGGCCAACGAAGAGATTGACGTGGTCGGCGGACTGGACTCCTGTAGCGAGAGCGGAAGCGAGCGGGTCGACTCCGCGGCCGACGGTTCCGTGGACGGTGAATGTTACTCCGCGCTCAACAGTAACGCGAGCGAAAGTAGCGAGCTTCGGAAGAATCCGCCGAATCCGCCGATGGAGCATCTGAATCACCAGCCCGGTATTCACCACTGGGGCCTGAGCCTATTGGAGCGACGACGCGAGCTAGTGGCGGTCGGAACGGGCCGTCAACCGGCCGGTAACGGTGCCAGAAACCTGATCAGGCAGGCCGCCAGCGAAGAAGAGGTCCAGAGTGGCAGTATTGATCTGTCGGTGAAGGGCAGGGAGGAGAGAAAGAGGCTGAACCCGTTCTCCATCGACAGTCTGTTGGGGAACAACCGGACTAGCGCGGCGTCGGAACGCAGGCCGATGACGCCGACGTCGCCGACGTCGCCCATTTCGTCGGCCTGCACATCGCCCTCCACGACGTAGTGAACAGGCGCGAGAAGAGACGCTGAGATGAGCTGAATTCGGGGAGACGCGGTTTTGACAATGGTGAAATGTGTTTAAGCGGGGGCTTTCTAGAATTACGAGTGACGGTGAAGTGGCAAACAATCGGAAACGAATGATAGTTGGTGTGTGGAAAGCGGAAGTGATTTTTTTCCAGCTGAAAGAAATCGCGTAAAAACGAGCCAGCTGTGGTAAATTTCTATTTCCATTTCCACAAGGGTTCTCGCTTTGACTGAAATCAATAGTTTTCATCGATATCCTCGCGTACTTGTAGACATTTTCACGTCATTCGATGAATGCATTTTAAGATTCTTGGTATCCCGAGTCATACGAATTCATTGTTTTAAGGGAAACCAATGAAAAAGATAGAGATGGATGGCATTTTAAAGAGATAAAAGGGAAAAGTTCGCAAATTGAACTCGCGAATTAAACCGCGATTCTAATTATGCAATTCCGAGACTTTTCGAATTCTAAGAGATACATTCGAGAATCTGAGAATCGCATCTCATCGACGTGAATTGACAAGACTTATATCAGTTCGACATATCGAATGCATGCGTGACCGTCGTAGATCGAGTGCGTTTGATTTTGTCTGTTGTATCTCCTTTTAAAGAAGAGAATGAAAAAAATGTGCAATAAACACGGACGTATTCGCCGGCTAAGCGGGTTGTCCGTTTTTGAAGTAAGAGAGCGAAAGAAAGAGAGAGAGAGAGAGGGGGGGGGAGGAAGGAGGGAGGGAGAGAGAGAGAGAGAGAAAAAAGAAAGTAAAAAAATAGAGAGAAAGAGAAGCAGAGAGCAAGAGTGCGAGTGCATACGTGTGTATTTAATGTAAATAGTGGCAAGGAGGTCTGTTTAACTTAATTTTTTTTTTGAGTAGTTGATACCCCCCCAGTGTTCGTTAATTACGGATATTATTTAAAGCAGAAATAATGCAAAGGTTCTCGGCTTTTTACATTAATACATACGAGCGCGACTGAGTTAATGAAAATTACGAGAAAATTATGTTCGTGCGATTTAAACGCATTGCTATTATACAAAGAAAATAGACTGGACAAATTGAATGACTTTTTCGAGCAATTCATTTGCAGTAGTGTAATACTAAACATATCTACGATGTGAATCGCGATGAAACACAAAGAAATAAGAGTAAAAGCTCGAGGACCTCTGTGCGATAGAAATTTGCTCGGCGTTGTTTGTATATAAACTTAAAAATCTTAGACGAGCGTGAGTACGGCGCAGTACAAAGATTTTGCTCCCCCTTCCCACCCTTATAAGTAAGGTTGATCTACATGCTCGGTTTATGGTCAGGAGTGATTAAGAGTTGCCATACGATGATCCGGGATATGCAAAACTAGTACCTATCATATATCTATTAAAAATATATTAATTTATTCTCCAGACCACGCCAACGTTCAATTATTGCATCCCTTTACATCTCATCACTTTCTTCTTCCTTTCCACCGTATTTAGAAGAAAGGACAGACTCATCAAAACAGTGTAAGTATAAAAATTAAATTAACTTTTTTTATTTTAACTGATCAGTTTAAGTTAAAAAAATTTTTAGAATAAATACGATTAATTAATTCAATGTGGTTCATCTAATTAAAATTAAACAATGCGAAAACGATAAATATAAAAATAGTTTTGTTTTGATTGTCAAAATATTTAAGAATAAAAATTAAAAGCATCTGCAATGCAATTTCAGTAGACAAAAATCAATTCTAAGTTCACAGAAAAATAAACCTAGAAGGACAAGATTCGCGTTTGCAACACTTTATGTAAATCCGCGGGAGTACGATTTATGTTCACCACAAGTCGGGACGCTCTCGCTGAAAGCTTTTGTTCGTTTTAACATCGATGCGCGGGGAAGGCGACTGGAAGAATAATAACGATGTACGACAATGCGACCGCTGTCGACGTCGCGTGGCGAACAATGAACCGCGCATAAATCATAGACACAGTGCAGCATCGCTTCCGTTGTTATATTGCAGTTGCAACGCTATTTATATCCGACGCTGTTAAAAATATCGCGGTCGCTGATTTCTAAAATCTTCTCGAATAAATTCCATATTTTTTAGCAAGACTTTTATCACTTGTTTCTGATTTACGCTAATTTAATACAGTTACGTGAAACATTGAAGATACGCTGAATAATTAACGGTAAATTAAAGCACGATTTAAAACAATATTCAGTAGAAACTCAACAAACTCATTACAATGATTTAACACTCCATTAGTTTGTAGTTTGCAGAACTTACATAATATTGAAATTTGCTGCATTTATTTCAAGATCCTTATGAATCTTTTGTCCATATCAATACAATACATGCAAAAACATAGAGACGGTGAATAATCTACACAAATAATTAATCTCATAATTTTAATTAGCGAAATGTACAGTACGCGGCAAATTTGCAATAGCAAATAATCATAGTTTCAAAATAATGTCGCCATTTTAACGAATAGAAATCGACAGACATCGCAGACGCGGAAGGAGAGAAGTCGTAGCGGAAGGTAATACGCGTCGCACGAAGACAATAAAGTGCGTCGCCGCTCGCGATTTATGTTACGAGCATTTACGCGCGCGCGCGCGACCGAGCGCCTCCACAAAGGGCCATTGTGCGATTGCGACACAACGCAGTTAATATTATTAGCCGTCCACGAGGAGCAGCGCTTAAACGGCTGATGCTTTCTGCCCTCGCCCTCGCCTGAGGACTCTATTACTGGCCAATCCTCCTGGCGGTTACCTCCTCTTCTTCGCTATGCAGTCTATTGTCGCCATGCACGAACAACATTACATGTCTGCTTTGTAATAGCAGAGTTCAAGATAGTTTTCTAATCAGCGAACATACACCGAATATGATAACAGATATCTAAAATATTCTAACAATTAATAAGTTTAAAAAAAAATTAAAATACAGAATGTACGCTGATTAAAATTATGAGATTAATCACTTGTGTAGATTATTCACTCTCTATGTTTTTGGATGCAAAGCATACATATATTATGAATTTAAATTACCAATATATATTGTTGTTCAATATTTTTTCCAGGGTACCTTTGTCATAATCAACACATTAAACACTTATTGTAATATTAATGCCGACATCTGTGCGTGTGTATGCCGCAAAATTTTATAAAGTATAATGAATCATTCATTATACGGATTTCTCTGGCCATGACAACTCACGCTGATAATCGTAGGAAAGCCGTTCGAGCCCATTGCACTTCGCTCGCCGGTCTACGTAAGAAATCATAGCGTTTACATATTTTCCTTCTGACTGACTCGCGCGAGAATTTATTTGAATCAATACTCTCGGAGCGCGAAACAAATGATTTATAATGAAACGTGTTTCTCTATTATTTCATCAGACTGTGAAAGCGCTTCTGGAGATAAGATGCGTAATGAGCCATCTAAAAAATTAAAAATAAGTAACGATTAAACTCTAGCTAGCTATTTTTTGCCAATGAAACGACCGGCCATGTGCTCGACGTTTATATTAAGGAGAAATCGAGATATTGAGACATTGAAATTTGAGGTTGACTGAGCAGGTGACACCTGGCTCACGACCGCCAAACAAGCACCAAATAAATTAGAATAGTTATAATTAAATTCTCACTGATGGACGGGGAGGAAGAGCGAAAGCACAGCTGCAATTACGACGTGCTTGAAAATCACGCGAAAATGATGTTGTTCGTTAACGCTTTCTTGCGATGATTCCCGAGGAATATAGGTGTAAATTATATTCCGGGATCGCGATTAGAGAGGCTAACCAGCCACCTGCCGGATTCACGCACGGAGACTGCCAGGTATTAATAATCCGAGGATTTACGAGATCCCCGATAGCCGTTCTCTTTCATTAGGAGGACGCCTTCATTGTCGATCGGATAATGTGTATCGCTGCCTGGTTATGCTAACTAATCATAATGCAAGAGTAAAAGAGAGAGAAAGAGAGAGAAATTTGGAAATTTATCTTCATCAATGAAGACAGCAGAGCTGAGAGGAATATCTTAAACGTCTTATTTACTGTTAACTTTAAGCAATCATTTCATTGGAACCTAATGTCGTAAAACGCTACCGTACTTTAACACAGAATCTTGTATCGCCGGGTCTCGCGTATCACTTTGAATTCTCAGATCCTTGAATTTCTCAAGGTACACTTTTATATGGATTTGAGAGATTCTTTATCGCTGATACCACTAAAATTCGAAAATGAGAAAGAGTGTTTCTCATTCTAAGAATTTCGTTCTAAGTTCGTGGAAAGGACGAGTGAGAATACGACTGGTCCCTTCCGCCAAGGTGTAACTCGATCGAGTTCGATCCAATAGATCGAGCGGCAGATTCCTTGCCGGTTATTACAAGGGGTCGGAGGTTGATCGCTCGCATAAACCATTTAGCTCTGATCACCTATCGATACCGATATTTCCCAGAGGTATTGGCTATCTTTCCGCTCGATCTTCGTCTGACAAGGCCCTCTCTCCTTGTCTAGATGAGCCTTACCCACCCCGCACCAGATTAAATATCTGTCTGGTCTCCTAGTCCTCCCATTGGATCCTCTTTCATTCTCTTTCAGATGTGTTTGCGTCTCAGGCATTTTTATATCACGATAAGCGAGTTCGATAATTTCTTGCAAATTAATATTTCAGACCTGCTATATTTTAACGTAGGCCAAAAAGAACCGTTAAAAACGAACAAATTAAATATTTTAGAGAATTTTTTATATATTTCTTATATGTTTCTGACAGAAACATACACAAGAACGAGATTTTTCCGTTAATAATCAAATAATCTATATTCCGCGACTTAATAAAATATAATAATTTTAGAATTCTTTATCACTACAGATCAATCTGTTTCAATTACAAATTTTTTACAACACTGAAATTGATAAAAGAATCAGTCTTTCAAATTTCCATATAACTTGATACAGTTTGTATTTTCAAAATATTCAAAAATACTTTATATATGAGAACACATTATTTGAATTATATGAATTATTGAAATTTGGTTTATTTTACAATCTCTTTCGCAAGAAAATAATTCGCAAGTTGTTTTCTGTGGCGTAGAAGATTCATTTGCGAATCGTTTTATCGGCAATTCAAAGACAGCTCGACGACCATAGCCTACGAGCTCGCTGGGCTCATGGCCAGCTCGACCCATAAAATGCCTGGCGACTTGGCCCGGCGATCGCCATTATGCATGTACATAAATCGGTGTGCAGAGCGAGTACATAGCTCGCCGGGTACGGGAATACGCTCTACCTACATATTAAGTCGTTTCTCGTGTTATACAAGGGACGCTGCTCTCACTTCTACGAAACAGCGCGTTGGGGCGCGCGGTGAGTTCACGAGTTCCTCGAAAAATCGAGGATCGACCTCACGAAACTTCAACCAATACCTATTAACATGTCAAACTGCTAATGTGTCGAGAAGGAATAACTATAACAGATTCCATAACTTTATTAATTTTTAGATATCAATTAAAATGTTGTGCTTTGTTTTTTTTTTATATGATTTTACGAAAAACAAGCGCTATTAATTTTTAAGCGTCGATCAAGGATTCCGTGCTTTGTTTTTGGCAACTTTGGTGAGTGAAAAGTAATACCGCCGGATATTGAAAAGCATTCATCTACGGCGGATCCGAAGGCGGATCAGGACGTACTTGGCAGGAGATCGAAGATGCGAGATAAAGAATTAATAGCCGCTTTTGGCA